GAGTTCGGGTCGGTTAATATCAAATTTGGATTATAATATAGTGTACTGTCTTGATAATTTTATTAGTATTGACCCGATGCTATAGTTTCATCTAACACCAAATATTTATTACAAAACAATACTATAAAACAGGTTTTAAATGAGACATGGGTTGTACTAATATTTTATAATGATCTGATTAGCTTTGATTGGCTAGAAAAGTTATTTAGCATTGCGTAGACATGCGGTAAATGTAGAGCTTTCGTCCAAACATGGATTTTTATTATTTTTTTTTCCAGTTTAACAGTCAGGGTGTTCGACCTAATTTTTGTATATATCGATTAAGAGAATAAATATTTTATGGGTAGTCTATAAACAAATTGTTTACAGGCAACTAATTAAAATTAAGGAACCACACAAATTCATTAGGAATCCTCAACATTAATTTATGTGTTTGTGTAACTCTTCAATTTTAATTAGAAGCCTGTAAACAATTTAATCCCATCTACTAATCCTTGTTAGAAAAAATAATTGCAAACAAGTTTATTTGTATAACTTAATATTTAAAAAAAAGTAAGACACATACTTCAAAATTGGTAGGATCTAGTTTAAACATGTTCTTTTCCACGAGGAGATGAATGTTGTATATTTATTTGTTTTAAACCATTAAGTATTAAATAAGAAAGGGTTAATTACAAAATGCCCCTTCAAATTTGGGTCGTGTTTCAACCAGCTCCTCGTGGATTTAATTTCTACAATATGCCCCCTTCAAGTTTTAAGATATCTCAATCATCCCATTGCCGTTATTCTTGACCGTCTAAATTGATAGAAGTCAACATTAACACCATTAAAAGACATTTATACCCTTCAATCCAAAAACAACCCAACCCTCCACAAGCAAAAGTGCAAAAACTCATCAAACAAGCAAAATTCGATAAAACCCAACCTTCCCTCAATCGATGATTATCCACTCCCTCCCCCTCCGGTGAAACCGAAACCCATCCATACCTAGTGAAAACCAAAACCCTCAAAAAGTCTCAAAGTTTCGATTAATCCTAAACTCGTGTGAAAAATTGGTGTCAATGGAGAACACCCTAGGCATTATTCAGAGGTCTATCGATGCGATCGTGACAAGAGCTTCTTCCCCCGCCTCGAGTTTGTTTGGATGACTAGTGAATGAAAAAGCTATAAATGGCAAAGGAACTTCGAACAAGGCCTTCGAAACTGGATTACTTGGGTTGCTATTCTCAGAGGGGTGGGCAAGGGTTACTTGGTAGAAGTGGGGAATGGGGGTGTGTGGATTAGTTTTAGTTTTATTTTTAGTTTTTTTTGGAGGTGGGTTTTGGGGTGTTGTCGGCATTGGGTATGGGGGTGGGACTACTGGAGCAGAGGGTGGGGGTTCCAGGGAACCGATGGAGTAAGGGCTTGGGGTTGGGGAAATGCCAAAGCAAAAGATGGGGGACTGTCGGAGCAAGAGGTGGGGGGCATTATCGAAGTACAAGAAGGGGGTTGGCGGCTCACAAGAGCATGGGGACATGGGTCAGATACAAAGAAGAGATAAAAATAGAATTATTGGGGTATTTTAGGAATTTTGTATTTTCATCCACTTTCTTAGTTAATTTAAATCAAAAGAAACTTGAAGGAGGTAGATTGTTGAAATTAAACCCGCAAGGAGTTGATTGAAACACGACCTAAACTTGGAGGGGGCATATTGTAATTAACCCAATAAGAAATTATATCTTAAAGTGACCATTTAAAGTGATGAATAAACTAAGATTGGTGTAGTAGAATAAGACTTGTCCATGGTTGGAAGAAGACTAACACTTTGGTGAGTTCATATAATCTAAGTTGGCTTCGTGGGTTGGGCTCCAAGAGGTATCACACTTTTGTTAGAGGAGTGAGCGCCTACATTACCTTGGTTACCATGTGCCACCCACCTCACCTCACCACAACCCGACCGGGCTTGGGCTTGGATTTTGGTCAAAAAGATATAATATTTTTGGACAAAATTTATTTGGTGTGGTGCGGGTTATGGATTAAACCATCGGATCCGAACGTGGATAGTAATTAAATTCTCAACCGAAATTTAAAATCTATACAGAATTTTAACTACTCGTTACTTTGAATTTAGAGTCGAAACTGGGTCTGGTTCATTCAAGAGGGTCTGTTCATTCCAGATTCGCCTTTTGTCTGTTCAGATTACAAGGATGTGTCTTTTCAATTTAAACATTGACATCTAATGCCTTTTCAAGCAATCTGAACAACCAACAAGGGTTTATAAATAGACTGCCCATTGCCATTTTCAATCTATCCTGAATCTGAATGAAGTATTCAGAATTTCTTCTGTCTCTTTCTTTCTACATATTGTTACATTAGTCTTTCTTGTTTGGTTCAATAAACATAGAGTTGTATTCGCCGGAGTCTTGAAGATTGAAGTATTGCTTCTTCAAGAATGAAATCTATTATATCTTGGAAGACAATTGCTTATCAACGTTAAGTACTGAGATGAAACAAATTTATCTTAAGGAAACTGTATTACACAGGGCTTGGATTAATATTATTTTCTAATTTTTTGGATTTTATTTGTGCAATTCTGCATCACTATATGTGCATTACTGTTTCTATTTTATTGAATTAGTTTACACATAACAAAATACCCTCCCCAATCAGGTGTTAGGTCAAAGGTAAGTCATCCATATCACAATTAGGGTATTCATGAGAGATTTATCCCTCATTACCTGGTCTCAAAGTGTTGCCAAGTTTCGAACTTAAGACGTCTGAATTTATAACTCACCTTTGTTACCACTTGAGCTACTCCTTGAAATTAAAAATGGGATTTGTATTAAGATAATGAACTTTACACATTCTCCAAAACTTGATCCAAGTAATTTATAATTAGCATTGAATAAAAAAATTGGTCAATTATTATCTTGAAATGTCATTTTTTTTGGCATTTAGTTAACTGTGATACTGTGGCATTGACATTTTTTTTCCCTTTCCTATCAGCTTTCTATTACCTAAGTACATCTTCAAGAGTAAGTCAAACTCTTACTTATATTTGAGTAAAAAGTGAATAAAAACATAAATTGGTTTGGAGCTCTCCAATGGACATACTCTTTTTTACGCTTAAATCTTTTTAACAAATTCTTGTTTTATTCCCAAAGCTCCTTAAATAATAATACAAAAAAAAAGCTTTAAAGGGTCAAAGTTGTACGAGATAAAAATCTTGTACCTTTGACTGAGAATGATATGAAACTTGAGAATAGGGTTTTCTTTGGTAACATGAACAAAAATCACCCTCTACCTACAAAAAGAACTAACAGTCAAGGACCAGGGGTGATCTGGTTAAAGGTACTCCACTGCTTAAGTTAGTAAGGATTTTAAGAATAAACAGAAGAATTACAGGGAAGAGAGTGTGCACCTTAGACTTAAAATTTTCTCGTATTTATAGTAGTTTGTACCATCTTCTAGTTTCATTTGTGACTATAAAAGGTGGCACACTTATTTTTTAGTCAAATCTTCCTTAATTTGTGGAAGAATTTTTTTAGACTTCCTTTCTTACTTGTCAATTTTTTAGGTCACATATTTCTAATGTGTACCTATGAATTAGAAATTTCCTTATTCGTTCTCTAGCATTGCACTTGGTTACGTGGATAGCCTAAATATCTCTTGATTTGGTCCTATCGTTTAATCGTATCTTGACTCTTAGTTCCTTGAGACCTTTTTCTCCAGCCTACCTTGCCAAAATTTACTCGGTACAGACTCTATTACTCGGTAACTCCATGACCGAGCACTTCTTGATTTATCGAGCCTTTCATTTGCTAGGGCATAACTGAACCGATTCGATCATGCATGTGATCTTATCACGTGTCTTAATACAATTGTCATGTCAAAATTGATAGATTCTAACCCTCCTCACTTACACCCAGGTGGCACACTTGGACACGTTCTCTGCATGCAATCATTTTACTTCATTTGATGGCCTCGCTTCATTTCTCACAAAAGGCATTTTTGTGTCCTTTCAATGGGAAAACATTCACTTGCATTAATGATCCATCTATCTATGCTCCAGGTGCCTCTTCATACCTTTTTAAAGGTTCATCTCTTCTGGTGTTATTTCCTCCACTATTTTTTACCATTTATGTATCTTCAAAGCTCCCTTATGCCCTTAGAGATCTTTGTAAGTCTCCTTTTCTCTCTTGTTATTACCACTATGGGCAAGCTTTAGAAGGAACAAATGCCAAACTTTAGACTCATGTACTCTCTTCCTGATAATGTCACTATTGAGGTCGCTGAGGACAGACCTTTGATGGGGTCCAGGGAAGGGATGCATTTTTCTCATAATGGCTATTAAAGAGGGTAGAATTAGGTTTCCTCCCCACCCTCTATTGTTGTAGGTTCTGGATGCCTTAAATTTGTATCCACTCCAATGTTGCCCCAACTTCTTTAGGATTGTATTAGGTGTGGTTGCCTTGAATGACTTGTTAGGGACTAATTAGGGCCTTGGGACATCCTTTACTGATACATTATCTCCTATACATTTGAGAATAACTACTATTTTAGAGTTAGAAAAATCAATCACTACGTTGTCACCCACCTCCCTGATTTGAACAAGGGGCATGGATGTGATGCTTTATTTGTTTCGGGAAATTGGGAACATCAATTGAGTGAGGAACCTTGCTACAACTGTCCATACGAAGAAGGCTCCCGAGGTAGTGACCAATGACGTCATCATTTTTCCCTTTGCCATCTTTATTCCTTATTCTGACTTGTGAGTTCATATTTTTCTTCTTGGTAGGCAAAACAGTTAAAGGGAAAATCCCCGAATCAAGGGTGAACTTCCCTAATTTATGAAAGGTTTGGGAATTTGATGCTCGAGACCTTTTATCTCGATCATCTCCTACATATCAATTCTTCGTTGTTGTGTCACCCTTGACTAACCAAAAAATAATTGAGTAGAGGGCTATTCAACCATTATAAAGATCTCCCTTTCTCCATTCAGGAGTCCTTGACACAAAGGAATGGGGAGAGGTAGAGTGGCCAGAAATTTTATTGGTTTAGTGCATGATCTCACACTTAGGGAAGCTTTGGGCTCGGTTGATCCTTCACCCACCCCAGCGAATCCCCTTGAAAAGGGTTAGTACATTACAATCGAGAGGACGTCTGATCCTATTGGCATAGAAGAGGAGGATGACCTCGCTGAAGACTTCGCTTCCATAGCTGAACTGGTTCTGTGGCGGCATGTTTCAAAGAAGAGGAAGGCAGTGGTTGAGCCATCGTCTGGTGCTACGGAGGGGCTTGAAGAAGTGGAAGGTGTTCCTAAATGGATTTCTCTCTTCAAAAGGCATGCTAAAGGCTTAAAATAGATGTAAAAAGGCTTTCCTTAGTTATAGATTCGGATTAAGGATAATCTTGGTTAACAAGAAAACTTAGATTCCCGAAGAATCGCTTGATCAGTAGGAGGGCCAGCATAGGACGGTTGGTCTTAGGAATGAAATCATGTTTCAAACTGACCTAGAAGAATAGACCACTTGAGCAAAAATAGGGACTGCTCGAACGACCTCAAGGACCGCTCAAGCGACCCCAAGGGGTGAGCTCTAATCTCATCCATTTTGCTTTTTTCCTTTTCTTCTCTAATTTATAAAGAGACCGCTCTAGCGAATGCTAGTGAGCATATGGCGGTGTCTACTGATTTTTTAAGCCTAAAATCAAGCAAAAGACTTGTCATCTTGAGCATTAAAACATGTTGCTCAAGAGGGGTTCGATAATTACTCAAATTATGTTTTCAAAAACACAATTGCTTTTAAAAAATATTTTGTTGAAAAACATCTAAGGTCCATACACGAATTAGATTTGATTTCATTTAACCCTAATCCTCCTAAGTTAACTACCAATGGATCATAACACTCCGAATGCACCTTCAAGATTAGGAATAAGGTAATGACCTAGATAACTAAGGTGATGTAACTTTGATGCATAATCTCCTCCCTTCAATGACACTTTTGGATCTCAATCTTTATAGCATCATGACCATGAAATAGGTTCAAATTTATATGGACTCTACAAAATTAGTCAATTACAACATGTGATCTAACATTTACCAACACCATCAGTTAAAGGGCGCTTCTTGCCAAAGAATCATCATCCAAATCCTCAAAATTTTGTAGATCAGGCAAGAGAATTACTGTCCTAGCTATACCAATGGCCACATCGAGATCATTGACAACTGAGTCCTTAGAAAGAATGTATTGAAAGATGGCTTCCACCACAACCTAAGGTTACCTTCTAGAGATTCTACCACATCTAACAACTTGGTGTTGAAGATCTTGAATGGTTTGAATCATTTGGGGTGTGCAATCCGAGGATCATTGGCCTGCCCATGATCGCTCGAGGCCTAGAGGATCCTTGCAGAGGTTATTCCAATAGAAGCTACACATAATATCGAAGACGGAGTTTTAGCGGAGAGGCTTATTGAAGGAATGGAGCATCTAATCATGATATTGATTAAGATATAAGTCTTTAGTACTTGTAAGCTGAGTTTGGGATAGTGGATTAAGTTTTGGTGAACAGGTAGAGGTTCTCCATAGTTTTTTTTAGAGGAGAATTTCCGCGTCAATAAATTACTTGTCTCATTTATTATTTTTACATATACACTTGTGATTTGATGAACACTAAAGAGATTGAAGAACTCCTATTAAAATATTCCTATGAGTTACAGTATTGGGTAATTTAATTGATAAATTAACAAGGAGGAGTACAACATGGATTGGACTCTATCATTAGTTGATATACAATTTCCTGATGATAAAGTTTTTTTTGAGGTCAATCATTATCTCTATCATAAAAGAAAGAGAGATAATGAGAGTTTTGGCCTAAAATATTACCTTCAGATTTTTTGGTAAAGGGTTTGAGTTTTTCTTGATTTGGGTTTAAGTTTAGGTTCCCATTATTTGGTATAGACTTTGGTAGAGGATTAGAGAAGGCTTTTAAGTTTTTTTCCTCAATTTAAATTTTGGTCTAAAAATAAATAAGGGCTAGAGATACTC